GGCCAAGTGTTTGGACCCCTGCACCCATGCAGGATACCTGGAGGAGGCTCTGGGCTCCTGGTTCAGCCTGGCCTAGCCCTAGCCATTGGTGTCATTTGGTGAGTGGACCAGCGGATAGAGGATCTCTCTCCATCTCTCCCTCTCTCTCTGTAACTCTGACTTTCAAATAAATAAATAAATCTTTTTTAAAAAAAGAGATACAGGCCGGCGCCGCAGCTTACTAGGCTAACCCTCCGCCTGCGGCGCCGGCACCCCAGGTTCTAGTTCTGGTTGGGGCGCCAGATTCTGTCCTGGTTGCTCCTTTTCCAGTCCAGCTCTCTGCTGTGGCCCGTGAGTGCAATGGAGGATGGCCCAAGTGCTTGGGCCCTGTACCTGCATGGGAGACCAGGAGGAAGCACCTGGTTCCTGGCTTCAGATCAGTGCAGCGTGCTGGCCACAACACGCCGGCCGTAGAGGCCACTTGGAGGAGTGAACCAACGGAAAACGGAAGACCTTTCTCTCTCTCTCTCACTGTTTAACTCTGCCTGTCAAAAAAAAAAAAAAAGAGACACAAGTTTATTTTGGTGAAAGGCAATTATAAAATCCATATGTATAAGTGGTCTTCTAAAAATTCATGAAAAAATATTTTTATAAAGTATGCATGGCTTCAGTTTTTTTGCACCAAAATAAACTTATAATTTAATTTTATTTTCATTCAATTTTTGAGGTGCCTTATATGTAATTATATCTCAGTAAATGTGCTACTAAATAAGTTTGTCTTTTAATGATAGTTAAATTACTACAGGAACAAAATCACTAACTTTTTCAGGTAACTGACATTGGTGGTGGCCTTGAATTTCCAGAGACATGAAAACACTCAGCAGTCCATTTCATTTTGTTTTCAATGCCATTTCCTAGGCAGCAGTTCTTACTCAGATATTGGAATACAGAGGTGTGTTACTGTTGATAACAAGGGTTATGTTACAAATAACAGCTAAAAGATCAAGTTTTGAAATGATTTATTTTTATACAATTTAAACCACCTAATACTAGAGCATTTCCCACCTACTGACTTGTGTTTTCTTATATTTTGGGCAGAGTTACAAGTAGTACATTGAGAATTGCTTATAAACCCAGTTAGAAACGTGGAGGTATATTATCCATTAGGTATATTCCAGCACCTGTCAGGTGTCAAAGTAGAAAAAAGGCTGAGAAATCCTAGAGGAAAGTTTGTATTTAAAATCAGGCTGTCTGAGCTGGTGCTGTGGTATAGTGGGTAAAGCCGCCGGCTGCGGCATACTATGTGGGCTCCAGTTTGAGTCCTGGCTGCTCCACTTCCGATCTAGCTCTCTTCTATGTCCTGGAAAAGCAGTAGAAGATGGCCCAAGTCCTTGGGCCCCTGCACTTGGTGGGAAGACCCACAGGAAGTGGCTCTTGGCTTTGGATTGGCACAGCTCCGATTGCTGCAGCCAAGTGGGAAGTAAACCAGAGGATCGAAGACTTCCCTCTCTCTCTCTCTCTCTCTCTCTCTCTCTAACTCTGACTTCCAAAAAATAAATAAATCTTTAAAAAAATGAATGCAAGCTGCCAAAATGACAAAAAGCTAATTGGTTTTTGCACATTGCCTAATTATTTTATTTCTTCTTTCCCTCTGTATGCTTAACTGGTGAGACAACAGCATGTCTGAAACTTCTCTGGGTGTAGAAACATTTGTTTCTCAAATATCTAATATTTTGAGGGTCATAGCATTCCCAGTATGCAGGAAAAGGCCACCCTATGAATTCTAACTTACATAGAATGCTTGTGCAGGAGAGGAATGGAGAAATCTCTTGCACATCCACCTTAGATTTTGTATTTGTATTTAAACATACAGGAAAGATTTTTTCTGACCACCTTCTCCCGCCTAGTGGCACTGGCACACCGGGTTCTAGTCCCGGTCGGGGCGCTGGATTCTGTCCCGGTTGCCCCTCTTCCAGGCCAGCTGTCTGCTATGGCCAGGGAGTGCAGTGGAGGATGGCCCAGGTGCTTGGGCCCTGCACCCACATGGGAGACCAGGAGAAGCACCTGGCTCCTGCTATCGGATCAGCGTGGTGTGCCAGCCGCAGCGCGCTGGCTGCGGCGGCCATTGGAGGGTGAACCAACGGCAAAGGGAGACCTTTCTCTCTCTCTCTGTCTCTGTCTCTCACTGTCCACTCTGCCTGTAAAAAAAAAAAAAAAAAAAAAGAAGACTACCTTGTAGCTGTATGTTGCTGTTGTATAGTCTTGTACTTCTTAAATTTTAATATGTATGTGTATTGCTTGCTAGAATGCAAATTAGTGAATATGGGATTTGGCCTGGGACTATTCATTAGCAAACTCTCAGATGATGCTCAAGAAGTACATTTTGACTACAAAGTTTTAGCTGCGATTAGATTAGAGTAGCCTAGAGTAATGTAATTGCGTTCAGACTGCTTCCTTCATAGCCCGAAGTTCTAGTACATAAGCAATCCTCTTTTGCTAGAGGACCATTTTGAAATATTCAAATCCTTAAGTTACCATTTGTCAAAATATACTGACCCTAATGTAGAACTAAAAACCTGTTTGTTTGTTTTCTACAGAAAATAAATGGTGAAGGATTTTCGGGCTTCTTTACTCAGCTTGGTGTGATCAGATTGGTAATGCTAAATAGCAAATACCAGGATATTTGCAAGACTGTTCCTAACACATGGGAAATCTGGAGTATGACACCCTAGAGAAGCCCATGGCTGTGTTATCTGACCCAAATATGTGCTTTCTCCAATGTTCGATTTCATTGTTTTATATAGCTCTAAACATAAAAATATTCTAACAATTGCCAAAGATATAAGACTATTTAATTGGAATGAAAGGATATATACTAGGTTTTTAACACTGGTTACAATCTTAAAAATGTTTGGGTTGGGAATGGGGAACCAGGAATAGAGGTGTTATGAATATTGGAGTGGAAGATATAAAAAAGAAATAGGCAATTAAATGCACAGGTTAAAGAAGTAAAAATCTACTATGAATCAAAAGCCTAAAGCAAGACATTTAGCACATATTGGGTGGAATTAATCAGGGGTGATGCTAGAAGAGAGAATTTAGGAATGTCCTGGAACTGTTCTCTTAGGGCATCTGATTGAACATTACTACCAGTAACTGAGGTAGAAAGAGAGGTTGGAATCAGAGCCCCATTTGTATTCATCATGCCTAATTCTATTAAACCGTATCTGGTAAATTATAATTATTCTCATAGAAAAACAAAAAGGTGGATTGCAATGAATCATGGGCCAAACCTAAGGTTAGTTGTTTCAAATGCTCTTAAGTAATATGTAGGTAGTTGTAACAGTATATTTTTGAAACAACATCTCATATTCAACTCCTTTTGAATGTAATACTCATGGCTTCTTGCCCAGACTGTCTTTGGGAGCAGAGGAATGAGTTGAGCTTCTCAGTAGAATTTTCCCAGAACTATGTGACTAAATGAAATGAACAGAGTGCCACAGTCTACAAAACAAAGTTTCGAGTCCTGTAGATTAGAATGTGTTTCTCAGAGCTCATGAGAAATGCTGCAGACATATTCGCCTATCCAGCGAGGCTGTATATAAGGAAGTGGGATGAGGGGAACTACGTGATAAGAGTAGTTGCTGGGGCCAGCGCTGTGGTGTAGCAGCTTAAGCGGCTGCCTGCAGTGCCAGCATCTGGTATGGGCTCCTGTTTGAGTCCCAGCTGCTCCACTTCCTAGCAAGCTCTTCACTATGGCCTGGGAAGGCAGTAGAAGATGGCCTGACAGATGTCCTAAACAGCACTCTGGCCTCAGAATCAGCCCTTAAGGCATGCGGATCTGGCTGAAAAGCCCATGAGAGTATTTCAGGCATGGAAAGCCAAGACACTCTGGAAAAAAAACAAAACAAAACAAAACAAAACAAAACAAAAAAACCTAAATGAAAGATCTCTGCGAGTGAGATCCCAGTGGAAAGAACAGGTCTTCAAAGAAGGAGGT